TGCCAGAGGGCAGGGATGGATGGGATATTGGGAAGGGATTGTTCCCTGGGAGGGTGGGGAGGGGCTGGGATGGAATTCCCAGAGCAGCTGTGGCTGCCCCTGGATCCCTTTGAGTGCCCAAGGCCAGGCTGGACATTGGGGCTGGGAGCAAGTGGGACAGTGGGAGGGGTCCCTGCCATGGAATGGGATGGGATGGGATGGGGTTTAGGATCCCTTCCCACCCTAAACCATTCCATGATTCCATGATCCCGAATCCCCACAGCATCCCGGGGAAGTGCTACAGCCCAGGGGAATGTGTCAGAATCACAAGCAGTCACTGATGGTCACCCAGCCCAACGTCCCAGCTTGAGCCAGGTCCCCCAGCGCACTCGGAATTTTGTCCAACCAGATTTGGGTCCCTCCAGGGAAGGAGACTCCACGGCCTCTTTGGGCAGCTCGAAATGGAGCATCCAGGGAGGCACAGCAGCATCCCCGGCCGGGGCAGCACCCCAGCCAGGATCCCCGGAGTCGGGAAACAGCCGGGAGGGATGGCAGAAAGGAGCCGGAGCGACTCACGCGATCCCGGCGGTTCCCCGCTCCTCCCCAGCACGGCCGTCTGGGCAGAGGGGCCGAAATTCCCGAAATTCCCTCCCGCTGTCCGCTGTCCGCAGAGGGGGCATTTAAGGAGAATTATGGGGGAATTAGCGCCCACAGGGCTGTCCCCTCGGGGAATCGCGGCCTCGATAGATCAGGCTTTACTGCCCAGAATCCCAGCCGGAACACTCATCCCGATCCCAGCCCGTTCCCGGGAGAATTCCGGGGTCAGGGTACTCTGGGGTGCTCTGGGGTTGCCCTGGGGGTTATGGGGATGCTCTGAGGATTCTAAGGGTACCTTGGGGGTTCTGGGGGTACCCGGGGGTTCTGGTGCTACACAGGGGTTCTGGGAGTGCCTGGGGGAGTACACAGAGGTTATGGGAGTGCTCATCATCCCATGTTTCCCCAGACCTGACCCCTCCCCCTAGCACAGAGATGAGTTCCAGGTGCTTCCAAGATCGGAAATCCAGTCTTTCCAGGACCCTCAGCATGACCCAACTGCCCGAACCCCTCACAATCCCACAGCAGGGTGGGTCCAGCACAGTGTCCGAGAGCTGGGGGCTCCAGGGCAGAGCTGCCCTCTCCTGGAACCTTTCTCTGCCCAACTCAACATTCCACCAGCTCTCAGTTGTGACGCCGTCCATCCATTTCCCAATCCAATCAGATATTCCATTAAAGGGATGCATTTGCATCCYGGGCTGAGGCTGCATTAATACTGAAAGTGTGTTGGGTGCCAGGGTTGGTGGGAATGCAAACAACACTCCGGAGCTGCCAGCACTGGGTAAACCCTGCTGGAAACGAGTCATTCCCACAGGCAGCAGCCAATTCTGCGGGGACATTATTCGTTTCATGGGAAGGGGGGAAAAATGTGGGGATGCTGGGCTGGGACCACCTGTGGGTCCGTGGTGTG